GGTGAGTCAGGCTGAGCCCGAACTGCACCTCAGTGCACAGATGGTGTAACCTTATCCCACAGGGGTCAAGCCTGAAAATAAACCCGAAACCAGAGCTGGGTTGGGGTGGGGGAAGGGTTGGAGAGGCACTGGGTGCCCCTTCAGCACGTCCATGGGGGTCCCACAGGGGGGAACAGTCATCGGCAGCGCTCGCTGCAAGGATTTCCGGATGAGGGAAGGGAGGTTGAAGGCAGCTCAGAACTTGGTGAAACGTGGCATCACCAACCTCTGCGTCATTGTGGAAGTCTCACCGGGGCAGACACCTTCAGAGCTGAGTGGAGCAGCCTCCTGGCTGAACTGGTCAAACTGGGTAGGTGGGAGAGCTCCATGGGTCAGTCCTGACACCTTTTGTGGGGAGTGGAGCAGCTCCTGGTTGAGCTGGTCAAACTGGGTAGGTGTAGGACCTCCATGGGTCAGGGCAGGGACACCTCCCACCAGAGCAGGTTGGTCAAGGCTTTAGCCAACCTGGAATGGACAGTTACAGGGCTGGGGCATCCACAACCTCATTGGAGCATCCACAACCACCTTGGGGCACCCACAGCCTCCCTTGGGGCATCCACAGCCTCCTTTGAGGCAACCACAGCCTCCTTGGCACATTCACAACCTCCTTGGGGCATCCACAACCTTCCTGTCCAACCTGTGCCAGTCTCACCACCCTCCCAGTGAAAACCTTCTCCCCAAGATCTAACCTGAACTTCCCCTTGCACTTTGTCCCCTCAGAGGGTGTTTGCCCCCAAGGAGATTTTTTTGGGGGGAGACACAGAGGGAAAAGGGGATGTCCTACCCGTTGGCAGGTGGGATCACAGCAGAGGAGGCCAAAAAGTCGAGTTACCTGAACATCGTGGGCATGGTGGGATCCATCGACAACGACTTCTGCGGCACCGACATGACCATTGGCACCGACTCGGCTCTACACCGCATCATGGAGATTGTGGATGCCATCACCACCACGGCCCAGAGGTGACAGGGACCTCCCCATGTGCCTCCCCAAACCCCTGGGGGCACCCAGGAACCTGTGCCCCCAGGGGTGAAACTCCTGTCTCTGCAGCCACCAAAGGACCTTCGTGCTGGAGGTGATGGGACGTCACTGTGGGTATGTGTGTCCCCCTCAGGTTGTCCCCCTGATCCAGCTCCAGGGGCAGGAAGTGGTGGAGAAACCCTAAAAAAGTTCTGAACTCATTCCAGCTACCTGGCACTGATCACTGCCTTGGCCTGTGGAGCTGATTGGGTCTTCATCCCTGAGGCTCCTCCTGAGGATGATTGGGAAGAACATTTGTGCCGGAGGTTGACAGAGGTAGGACAAGCTCCAGCTCCAGCTGTAGCTCCTATGGGTGTCTTCTCCCTGTCCCAGTGCTCGTTGTCACCTCCTGTCACCTTCCCAGACCCGTGTGGGTGGCTCAAGGCTGAACATCATCATCGTGGCTGAGGGAGCCATTGACAAGCATGGCAAGGCCATCACCTCCGATGACATCAAAACTGTGAGTGGGGAGGAGGGAGAAGATGGGAAGAAAATCCCATTTTTTCCCTGACATGGGAACAGATCCAGGTGAATCCTTCTCTTGCAGCTGGTGGTGAAGCGTTTGGGATATGACACCAGGGTCACCATCCTGGGCCATGTCCAGCGTGGTGGGACACCCTCGGCCTTCGATCGCATCCTGGTAGGCACATCCATCCCAACTTGACCTGGGGATTGGAGCCCTCACTTTAATAGGGACATTGAGGTGCTGCAGAGTGGCCAGGAAAGGTCAGTGAGGCTCATGGAAGGTCTAGGACACATGTCCAATGAGGCACATCAAAGGTCTAGGAGACATGAGGAAAGTTGAGTTTGTTGAGCCTTGAGAAGAGGCTCACGGGTGACCTCCTGGCTCTCCACAACTCCCTGAGAGGGTTGGAGAGAGGTGGGGGATGCCTCTCCTGCCATGCCATGGCTGCAGGGAGAGGCCGAGAGGGAATGGCCTTGGAATAGGGAATTGTCCATGGAGGTGGTGGAGTCACCACCCCTGGAGGTGTCTCAGAGGTGGCACTGGAGGATCTGGTTAGGGTTTGGTGGTCACAGCAGTGACAGGTTCAGGGTTTGACTTGATAACCTTAGAGGTATCTTCCAACCTGGATGATGCTATGAGTAGAGGGAATGTCCATGAGCTGAGCCAGGAGAGAGGCAGAGGAGACATCACTGGAATGGTGCCCATGGAGGTGGAGGAACCACCACCACTCGAGGTGTCTCAGAGGCACAAGACCTGGTTTAGGCCTCACAGCAGTGACAGGAGACCTTCAAGTTCTCCTCCCACCCTGAGGTTCCCACCCCCCATGTCCCCCCAGGGCAGCAGGATGGGGGTGGAGGCCGTGATGGCTCTGCTGGAGGGAACTCCAGACACTCCTGCCTGCGTCGTCAGCCTCTCGGGCAACCAAGCCGTGCGCCTGCCCCTGATGGAGTGTGTCCAGGTGGTGAGTACTGAGGAGAGGACATCACCCCCAGCTCCAAAATCCACCCAACCTGGCAGCAGCTGCCCAAACCCACCTCCCTGTGCTTCTCCAGACCAAGGACGTGACAACAGCCATGAACGAGGGACGATTCGACGACGCCTTGAAGCTAAGGGGAAGGTGAGTGGTTGCAGCTCCTTCCTGGTGGCTCTGGTCACCTCAAGGTCTCCAAGGCTCTGCTCAACCCTCCTTGGTGCTCCACACCCACCTCCACAGGAGCTTCCAGAACAACTGGAATGTCTATAAGCTGCTGGCACATATCCGTCCACCCCCAACCAAGGTAAGGTGGTGAGGAGGGGGTGATGGGGACCCACCTGGAGGTCAGAAGTCACCATGTCCCCTCTGTCCCCACCAGAGTGGTTACACTTTGGCTGTGCTCAACGTGGGTGCTCCAGCCGCAGGGATGAACGCAGCCGTCAGGTCAACCGTCAGGATTGGCCTCATCCATGGCCATCGGATGTTGGCGGTGCACGATGGGTTTGAGGGACTCGCCTTCGGGATGGTGAGGGGACGGGGGACGGGGGAGACAGGGAGAGTCCTACAGGGAAGAGGGATTCCCTGGGAGGAGGGGGAATATGTCCAGCCCCACGGCAAATCCCAGGGAAGGGTCACCCCAATGCTGCTCTGTGGTGGGGGAAGTGTCACCCCAGGGAGAGAAGTGTCACCCCAACCTCACTCTGAGGTGGCTGTGGTGGGGGAACTGTCACCCCAGGGTGGGACCTGTCACCCCAACATTGCTCTGAGGTGGCTGCAGTGAGGGAAGTGTCACCCCAACCTCCCTCAGGTGGCTCCAACGAGGCCACTGTGACCCCAAATCCTCCTCCTGTCCCTCCCAACTCATTCCTTTCTCCACAGGTGGAAGAGATCAGCTGGGACAAGGTTGGGGGCTGGACAGGGCTGGGAGGCTCCAAACTGGGGACAAAAAGGTAAAGTTCCTCCTTGGAGGGATCCCTTGGAGTCTCCAGGCTGAGCCACTTGGCCCGGGAAGGCTCAGCCAGGGATGTGTCACTTCGGCAGGACTTTGCCCAAGAAATACTTCGAGGAAATCAGCAGCAACATCAGCAAATTTGGCATCCATGGGCTGATCATCATCGGGGGCTTTGAGGTGAGAGGGGCAAGGCAGGTAGGGTCCCTGTGCCAGGCAGAGCCCACCTGGAGTGCTGGGACAGTTGTGGTGTCCCAACAT